AATCTACAGTTTATTTATCATAAACTACATATACATTTGAAAAGGTCACACATATTAGTAAGAAATTACAGCTCATAGATAGAACTTGCATGGATTTTAAAGTTATCTTTCAACTATTCTGCTGCAGTGGCTCACTGTTTGACACCACAGTATGAGATTAACATCCCTATTTTACTTAAGAGCATATCAAACACCATGATTATTTGCATTCAACCAACTAGCTGTAGAGCCTAGAATACAACCTCAAGACCTAATGATATTTTTGCTATACTGCGTGTATGCAGGGTTTTATTTTAAGACCATGCAGGAGACGACTGCAGAAGTTGGCAGCAATGGAAATACAACTGAAGAAAAGAAAAATAATATCCCTAGCTGATGTAACTCAGTGGATTGAGCGGGGGGCCTGAGAACCAAAGGATCGTGGTTCAATTCCCAGTCAGGGCACATGCCTGGGTTGCAGGCCAGTTCCCAGCAGGGAACACATGAGAGGCAACCATACATTGGTATTTCTCTCCCTCTCTCCTTCCCTTCCCCTCTAAAGATAAATAAACAAAAATCTTTATAAATAAATAAATAGATAGATAGATAGATAGATAGATAAAGTTGGAGCCCTGACCAGTGTGGCTCAGTGGGTTGAGTGCCAGCCTGCGATTTCCAGTCAGGGTATGTGCCTGGGTCACCAGCCAGGTCCCCACTGGGGGGGCATGCGACAGGCAACCAATCCATCTATCAATCACATATCGATGTTTCTCCCCCTTCCCCTCTAAAATAAATAAATAAAATCTAAAAAGTACCCTAGAATAGGGTACAATGAAGAAGGTCTAGGTTTGGAGCCAAGATCAAAAGCTCAGTCTGGGCAACTCAATTCAAAGCATGGAGTGCGTAAGGTGGAGATGCTGGACAGGCAGCGGGGATCAGAAAAAGGATCTGAACTACTGAGAAAAACTGGGGAGCACTCCAAATACATGTGATAACTGAAGCCACAGCACAGATAAGACTAGAGTGGGAAGGAGAAGACGACTAAGAACCAAGACTTCAGGAAGAACAATTAAAGATCTATCAGAAGAGCAGGGGGCTGGAGAAGCCTGAAGAACACCCAAGAGCGCAAGGAGGGAACTTAGAACCCAAAAGAGCAGAGTATTTCAAGGAGGACATTTTTGAAACTAAATATACACCCACTCTGGATACACAATTAGAAAATGAAGGTCCAAGAATGAATCAAAGAGAATTCCCTAAAAACAGAGTCCAGAACTACTTCACTGTGAACGTTCCCACAAGAACGAACTCAGTTAAGTAACAATATCCAGTCAAAACTGATAAGTCTTATACAGATGTAGACAAAAATAAATCTTTGTAACTACCTGAGATTTGAATACAGTTTACAGACTGTACGATAAGCACAGGAATGTGTGAACTTTATTCCATTTTAGAAAAAAAAAAACATCAACACTCTCAAACCCTACAGTTTTTTAATCTCATAGATGTTAGATTATTTCCAGATTGCTAAACCTTTTTAGCACGTTAAACTATAAACACTTTCAGAGCAAAATCAAATAGTATTCATCTCTGAACCTTCAGCATCTAGTTCAGTGCCTATAAGTACTTGACTGAAAAAGAAAAATAAAGAAAGGTTCGCTGAATGAAACTCCGTGGGCACACTTTTGTCCCAGCTGTGCTGGTGCTGCAGCCACACAGCCTCCAACAGCACCACCCACTCCACAGAACACTTCATTTCTTTAGAAACAGAATGCTGTGTGCAGAGATCTCATCGTGGTCTGCCGAGGGGGGGGGGGTGCAGTTGGGAGGACCTTTGAGCAACACATTCCACAGGTCTGAACGATAAACCCAAGTGCTGTCAGCCAGTGCGGTATCTGCAAAACTCAAGGATGTACTCTAGTGTGCCAGCCAGTACTGAATGTCTGCTCATTCGTTCTTGAGAGTTGTAGAAAATAGCAATGCTGAGACATAACAGACCTGGTCCTTACTTCCACACAAACTAAGCTAATTAAACTCATCAGTTGCGGCAGTTTGTTTGAAACACAACTGTTGGCACTTAGCTGATATTAAGTTCAGAAGTGTTTTCTAACTTTCAGGTTAATGTTACCAACTGAAATCTACCCGTATGTGTTCTCAAGAGTGGTCTACAAAAGCAAAAACAAAAAGTAATCCCATACTTTCTTTGACCAACTCTTTATCAGATATTTTGGGTAGAAGCCACACATTTCTATGCTGCAAGAAAAGCACGAGTTCAGAAATAAGAATCAAACCACCAGCTGCACTGAACTATTCAGATAAATAATAATGATGATGACGATGATGATGATGAAAGGAACACCGCATTTATTTTGAAACGCGAACTTCCAATAAAAAATAGTTGGAACTTGTTACTTTGCACTCAGGCATGCAGCAAACTGAGTATTTATGAAGAAAAGGACACTCTGGATTTTAATGACATATTTTGTATTCTAGGACCCCAATTTGAATTGATTGATAAGCCTAGGGGTGGGGGAGGGGAGGCTAATCAGATGCAGACTCTATCTCTTCCTTTGGCTAATTTATTCAAATATGAATGAAAAATAATTATCTCGAGGTAACAGCATTTATAAAGTAGGATTGTTATGTTCAAGATATGCTAACTTTTTAAACCCTTTGGATTAAAGGCTAAAACTCAATTCTACCTGCATGAACTGAATAGTAGAAAATTACCTTGCTCCTTTTAAAGAAAACTGTGGAAGCTACCTCGCCCAAGTAGAAAAGCAATTCTAAAGTCACACAACCTAAAAAGAAACTAAAGGTATTGACTTTTGGAAAGGATGTTTATAATGGTTTGGAAAAGTGCACAACAGTTTAAGGCAAATAGCAAGTAATATTAAACAGCTACAAATCAGGGCAGAAAATAAAAGAACTTCCATACAACTTGCCTGTCTGCTCTTCAAAACGTCCTCTGCCTACAGCACTGTTCACAAAGATTCAGCGAACACTAAGACACAGATTTGCTTAGCAGAGCTTTTCACCTTTTACCCGGAATAGTTATTTCACATTTTTCCAATTCTGCCATTACACAGCACTTAAGAAATCCAAAACAACTACAACTCTACGCTAAATCCCAAAAATTGCAACCAGAAAACCCCAGCAAACAGGAAAACAATTCAAAATATTTTTAGTCAAGAGCCCTGTAATGAAGGGTTTTTTATTTTTATTTTTTACATTCTTGATCTGAATAGTAATACTAAACCCTCTCTGGGGGTGGGAGATAAAGGATTTGACCCCTAAATTACATTATTAATCCCCTCTCCTACAGATATTAATGTGCTCGAGATATGCTGTTCTCCGTTTATCAAGGAATTAAAATTCATTTGTAGTTTGATTTTTGCAGCGCTTTCCCATGTACTCACTTGAACGTATACACAACACGAAGGTATGACAATGTTAGACTTATCAGGCACACAACATAACACCTAGCCAGAACTTATTCTATTTATCCGACTACACAAAGCATCGTCTTGATGCTAGCAAAGTAAAGCGTGAGCACAAAGAAGTCTGCACCACTGCCCCTTCTCAATGAACAAAAATTCCTGCAAACAATAAGACCAAACTCACCCATTTCTCAAAGAAAAAGAAATCCCCATCTTAGAAACAATCGCGAAAAAAGAAAAGAAGAAAAACCAACTTCTAAACCACACATTCACGTAAATGTTTTCAACTCAAAGCTCCAAACGCTCGGCCAACCACACAACTACCCACAATCACAGCGTTAGCGCCTTCTCTTAAATTTTGAATCTGGAGCCGGAAGGGGAAAAACAAAACCCAGAACAGTCATCCAAACTCTCACGAAACGGGAAGAAATCATCTGAAGTTAAGAAAACGTGTTCATCAAGAGTCAACTGCCCCATTTCCCCGCCCCCGCCCCTTCCAGCCCGTGCACTGAATCTTGTCTGCAACATTGGCGGGAGGCAGGAGTGCTGGCGGCGAGATGCTCCAGGAGAGTCCAACGTACCCCGGCCGCCGGAAGAAATGTCAGGGGCCGGGCGTCGGAGACAAAGACCAGCCCGCCGAGCGCCCGGCGCGGTCCTGCGCCCCTAACCGCCCGGCGGAGTTGGGAGCACAGCCAAAGCGCCTCCGAAGTGCGCGCCCGGGGTCCCCCTGGCCCCCCTCCCGCCACCGCGGCCGGGGCCCACCCCCGAGCCGTTTCCCTCCCAATTTGGAAACCGCGCGCCCGGGACAAAGCGGGAGGGCGCGCCGGACGCGACGGCGGGCCGCGGTGGCGATGCCCCTCCGTGCCCAGCGGTAACCAGTCGGCGGCGCCCCTGTCTCTCCCCCAAGCCCTCCTCTGTCCCGGAGCCCCCGCCCCTGGCGGCCCCTCGCCTGCCTCCCACAAGTTCTCCTGTCCCCACCCGGAGCCCGCCCCTTGCCCGCTTTTCTTCAGCCGGCCCAGCGGTCGCCCCTTACCGGGCGGCGGGATCCCCCGGAGCCGCCTCCTCCGCCGGGCCTCAGCCCGTCCCGCCGGCCGCCGCCTCATGTGCCCCGCGCTGCCATCGCCTTCGCCACCACCCTCGCTTCTCCTCCTCTTCGGCCGCCGCCGCAGCCTTCGCCTCAGTCTCCTGCCGAGGCCGGAGCCAAAGCCGCTCCCGCCGCCGCCCGGACCCGCGGGGAGGCGCCTGCGCACTACGCGCCGCGATGGGGGCGGGGGCGTCCCGCCGCGGCCTGGGAGCGGGGGGCGTGCGGCACGCGGCGCTCGGGTGGGAGGGGGCGTCCCAGAGCGCGCCGGCGGCGGCTCCAGCGCCTAACTTTACGTGGTCGGGGCTGCGCGCGCTCCCGGACAATCCGGGACGCGGCGGAGGCGCGGCGCGTGTAGCCCCACGCGCATGAATTCTGCACGGTGGACGCAGACTGCTCTGAGTCAATACATTCCAACAGCTTGATTCCCAGGACCCGAGTGCCCCGTGGCAGGGCCTCCCTCGGAGCGGGCGGCTAACGGCGCAGTGAGGACACGCCCTTACCTGGATATTCAGGGTGGGTCCAACTAGTCCCGAAGTTGTCCTCTGCGCTCCGCTAGGGCCCTGGTCCAGTGTACCGCAGGATGCTGATGTCCCTTTCTAGGTTCTGCTCTGAAGTTATTCGAGAATCCTACGAGCACTTGGTAGGTTTACCATTCTAGCTCTTTTGGTTAGTGGCTTTTAGAGGCGTTTCTAGATACGTTTGAAGCCCTGGACCTCTCGGATTAACGAGACCCTAATAGGCCATTTCCTCTTAACTCCTTGCATCCCAGCAGTCTCAAGACTTCCAACAGTTTGTATGCATAGGAATCTCCAGTCTTGAACTGCCTGGTAAGAATCTGAAAATTCCTCAGATACTTTAAGTAGCGTGAGTCAGTGCACAACAACAGAAGACGCACCAAGGGACGATGGGGAAGTGCTCTGTCCGGTGTTTGCCAACTCTCACACTCCCGAATCATCTCATTTGACCATCACGCTGCAAGAGGATAAGCCTTTATTTTACCCATTTAACCAGAGAGGAAATTAAGCTCTAACAATTGAGGTTCAACCCCCCCGCCCCACCTGCACCCGGAAAGCTGGGTCTGGCCCCATCAGCTAGTCCAGAGGTTGAAAACTTGAGGGCTAGGCACCCAGCCCACTAACAAAGTTTTGTTTGGCCAGTACGGTGTTTTCCAAAAATATGAATAAATTGCCAAAATTTAAAAACCCTACTTCTGGTTTCTCACTAAAATGTCAAAAATGTGTTCACTTTGAGCCCCTACATTCAAGTGGCAGCTACTTCTGAATAACATCTGTTAATCCAGGGCAGGTGCTGTCCCCACCCAGCTGCTTGGACTCTCTGTTTAAGTTCTCTTCCCGCTGTCCCTGCCTGTTCTTGCCATGCCCCAGTCCAGTCCCCAATTATCACATTTCCTCTACAAATGTATTTAAAAAGACAAGTATGAAGACCGCATTTATGGAAATTTAAATAAAGAACATGTTAGTTAAAGTAACACCGGTGACACATCATTGTGCATGCTGATGGAAATGTTAAACCTCTCCCATATTGCTAAGAGCAAGTATAAATTGGTACGAATCGCTTTGGAAACGTGGCACTATCTACTAACGCTGAATCTGCGGAAGGATACACTATGACTCCATGGGAATTCCACAGAAATGTGTACAAATGTCCACCAAAATACTTGTACTAGAGTATTTTTTCTTTTGGAAGCCCCACTCCCCTTAGAGTAGTAATAGCAGCACTATTTGTAAAAGCCAAAAAGATCTGGAAACTACCACAAAGCCCATCAACCGTAGAAAGGAGAGAGAAATTGCATTATATTCACACAATGGTACATGATGCAGTGGTGAGAACAAACAATGACAACCACACACAGTACGACAGGTGAATCTCACAAAACTTTCCATTTATGTAAGTTCGAAAACAGGCAAAACTAACGTGTGCTGTTAGAAGCAAGGGTAGTAACCCAACGGAAGAGTAGTTACTGGAGAGGAGCGTGAGGGACCTGCTTAGGGGCCAGTCCTGTTCTATTCTTAATCTGGATGCTGAATACACAGGCATGTTCAGCTGCCACATCTGACTACACACTTTTGGGGCATATTAGGACTTCAATGAAAATCTTTAACATGGTGTTAAAATGTTTGATTATATATGTGTATATAGAGCATATATGTATATAAAGAATATAGATAAACAAATGTATCGGGTTTACAGTTGTATGTGAAACAGTTTATTTTTGTGTTATGAATAAATTATTGTTATTTTCATATAAACAGTGGTAAATCTACTTTTGCCCCACCCTGTATTATGCATTATTTATATACATAATTAATAAATGATTCATGTTTATGAAGTATTTTCTCATAAATTCATAGATAAATCTGGGGGGGAAGGCTTCCCATCTTTTGGCACTGGCCACTGGTCATGGAGGTTGAAAACATCACACTTTTTGTATCCGTTACGTACTACTGAAGGGATTCAGAACGAACCTCCCGAAGATGTGCCACTTTGACACGGGAATCCTTTTGAGCTGAAGGCAATTGAGATCCTGGGGGCTCAAGAAACTTCCACCTCTCCCTTGAAGAATTTAAACTGGGGGCCTTGATCATAATGAGAGTTATCACCAGAAATACATTTTTATGACCTCTCTATAAGGCAGCGCAAATTTCTAGTTACCGGATAGCTGCTTTTCTTATCGCCCTATGAATGGCCTTCCCCTGCCTTACCTCTTTCATCGCTCAGAACACCATACGTACCTCATTTCCCTGTCTCCAAAACTCTCCTGCAGGTGGGGTCTCTGACTCACCCATCAGGGGGGTTCCCTCATGTATGTACATAATTAAATCTGGCCACTTGGTTAATCGGCCTCAGGTCTATTTGATTATCAGACCAGCTGAAAGAACCTAGAAGGAGGGAGGAAAGTTTCTGCCACCCCCACACTACCAAGCTTGCAGTTCTGTCTCTCTTCTGGTAGAGCAAACTTTTGAAGATGGAGATAATGAGACCCAAGGCAGTTAAGTTGTTTTACCTGCAGACGGTTTAAAAACCAGAAATATAACCAGAGGCTATTATCTCCTCCTCGAGACTCTTCTTTCTCTCCCGTCACACTGCCAGCTATTGACATCCTTTCATCTAATTACAGGTGGGAAACCAAGGCCAGAGACCTAAGCCAGAGGATTTCCAGACCAGGCAGTCACCAGTGTCCAGCACAAACCCGGGTGTGGCTGCTAGAATGGGAGCTCTGGAAGGGAGGGCCGCAGCACAGAACCCAGCTTCTAGAGCAGAGTCCAGCACATAGTAGCTGCTTCGAAAATATATGCAGAATGAATGAGTGAAGGGAGGCTCACCATTCCTAGCACAAAAAGGCTACCAGGGGGAAGAGAAAGAAAAGCCTCAAGTTTCACACAGGGAAATGGGGCTAGTTTCCAGCCTCTGGCAGGGAGGAGCGGAGCCCAGGGCTGTGAGAACATCACTTTATTCACATGGGGCCCAGGCAGAAAGAGATCAAAACCCAATTTGAGAACTTTGAGAGTCGCCCTGGGGCTCTGTGGTTTGGGAACTGTAAGGTCAACTTGGAGACTGAAGTGTGTCACTGTTTCCATTACACATTTTCCAGGGTCTCCACTTGGCTGGTAAACTCAGAACAGATTCTTCTGTGCTGGGGGATGGGCGCAGAGAGGTGGGATTCCAGAAAGCTCCCTGTTGGCCACTGGAAGCACTGCCTGCCCCCAGCCTGGCCGATAATAAGAATTGTTAAAGAAGCTCTTGATGACCCCACTAACAGCAGGGCGCGGGCATTAGTAACGCAATTCCTCCCTCGTAATCCCCAGCAGTTTCAGCTAACCTGGCAGGACACACTACACTGCTTCTCCCTGCCACAGGGATGTTGCCTGAAGCAGATTTTTTTGTTGTCACTTTTTTTTTAAATAGGTAACACAAGTAGCACAGAAGGAACAGTAATGAGAGGCCCCCACCAGGGTTTCCCAGAGCCTGGTTAGCACTGTCTTGTATATTAACGTTGAATTTTAAACTACAATTAATCCACTTGCGGATGAGGAATAGGTAAAGTCCGTGCAAGAGTTGGCGGTAAGAACAAGATAGGAGAGTGAGAAGCCAGGAAAAATTCCTTGGCAAGTAGAACCGGGAAACCGAGACGGACGGCTGAACAAAGTGGTTGAGCAATGCACAGCCAGGTGCAGACAGGTGCAGATGGTCGCTGGGGCAGAAGGCCTGCAGGGGGCAAAACCGGGGAAACAAGGACCTCGCCCCCAGGTAACCTTGCCTCCCTGGAGACAACATCCAGGCCTCAGCTGTTTTCAGCTCCAGGCCCAGAAAAGCAGCAAAACCAGGTGGGCTACGCCAGAACCAGGTGCCATGACTAATCTGCCTGTCACTGACCAATCAGTGGAGACCAGGACCCTGAAAGGGCCACACCTGGAGAACTGAGGAATGTTCTGCTGGAGCCCTCCCCTGAGACTTCCCTTAAGATTATCACCTGCCAGAGAGGGATAAAAGCCTCGAGACAAAGGACCCAGGGCGCATGCCCTGGGGAGCAGCCTGAGCCACTTCTGGGGAGCAGCCTGAGCCACTTCTTTCCCCACAAACACGAGTCTCCTAAACTCTAAGGCAGTGGGCAGCTGGCAACTCGTCCCAGGCTAATTCCCTGAACCGATTCTCGAAGGCCTTTTTTCTCTGCCTTCCCAGCAAGCTAAGGCAGGCCGGCCTGCGCTCTCCTGTTGCTTCTTCCATGCACAGCCCCTCCTTGTGTCACTGTCCCCAGCTTTTAGTAAATGCATCCTCACAGCCACCTGGACTCATGTTGCGAAGTCTTTCCTACATGAAGTCAGGAACCCACACACTACAGCTGGCCCTAGGCCTGCCGGCTCAGGCCCCCTGTCTGGTAACAGGAAGAAAGATGTAGGAGGGAGGTGAAGAGACCTGCTCTGGTACTCCCACCAGGCAAGGGCATTTGGACAGGCCCAGACACAGTGCACTGGCCCGGGACCCACTCTACCTTGGTGACAGGCCGGGGAGCAAGTGCATGGTCCTGGAACAGCTGGAAGCCCTGGGTTCAGATGTTTGCTCTGCCCAGCTGTTTGCACTTGTCTACCAGAATTTCTAAGATGGTGTGAGAAAGAGATGATGAAATGCACACGAAATCGCATTATTAATAGCTAGGGTTCATTTTCTAGTGTCCCGTGGTAGGTCATGGTCATCATCATTGGTGGGGTAGCTCGGCCATCTACTTGTAATGATCTGGCTGAGCCACTTAAACTCACTGAGCCTTGCCTTCCTCATTCCTAAAATGGGAATGATGATCTCTCCATGTCGAGGATTAAATAAGGTACCTGAAGTGCCTGAACCCCGTAGATGGTCAAGGCAATAGTCCCTTTCCCAGTGCGCTGTAGGGGAAGCTGGGTATTTGGATTCCAAAGCCCCCAACGCAAGGACCTTAGCCAAACATTTCAAAGCTCTGCATCTCGAGTGCATCATCCAAGATAGTGGTTTCTGCTGGTGTCCTTTCGCAGCTCAGAAACATTCCTTCACAAGACAGGGTTCTATACCATCCGAATCTCTGCAGTCTGATTCGGCCTTTTAATTACCACTATCAACACCAGCTTAGAAGTTTTCCAAGTATGTGCCAGTCTTCCCAGAAAGATTATTAGGTCCCAACAGCATTTTTCTGGCCCCAGGCCGGTGGCTCTTGAGGCTGTCCTTGGACAATTGCCGTAAGGTCCTTGGAACTCAGTGCCTGTTTTTAGAAGCAGGGGGTGTTAAACCCTCCCCAACTCAGGCGCCTACTAGGGGCTGCCTCAGCCCAGCCACATTGTCTGGAAACTTCCACTGCCCCGCCCGTTCCTGTTACCACACTCTCTGCCTCTCTGGGCACAAGACACTACTATAGGGCCTAATGTTTTCTTCTCTGTGACACCCCCAGCCCAGCCCCAACTCAGAGGGTCCTCTGTTCCTCACCCAATTCTTTCTCCATCATCCCCTCACTCCAGCTCTCCATAGCTCCAGGCAAAGGCCGCACTCCCTTCCATGTTGGTCCTTCCACTCCCTTGGGCTGCATATGGTACAGCAGGGCCTTAGATTGTGTGGGGCTCCAAGTCCTAGTCCCCCCCCCCTTCTCTTTTCCTCCCCCAACAGGCTAGAGAACCTGAAGCTTCTCAGTAAGATAGGGAAGCCCAGCAAGAGGTGGCAGTGGGGGGGGGGGGGGTGTTCAGAGGGACAGGAAAGGGTGTGCTGCCCTGTGGACCACCCGGAGTCTGTCATCAGGGACTTTCCACTTCTCACCCAGCCCGCTAACCATGCCCTGCCACTTGCTCTTTCTAGAGAAAGAGGAACAGGCAGAGTGTGCTGGGAATTCTCACAATCATCTTATTTAACCCGTAGGATGATCCTGTGGGTCCCTGCTACCTCCAGTTTACAGACGATGTAAACTCAAAGAGGTGGAGCGGCAGAAGAGCAAGTATTTCGAGGGTGGTGGTCAAGCAGCCAACTGACCCACGTCTAACGCCAGCGCACGCTCGGGACCCCCTGCCTGTCAGCATCACTCCGTCAAAGCCCTGGGAACTAGAATTTCTGTTAATGTGATCTGATCTAGGAGAGAGACGTTTACTAAGCAAATTACTCGTGCAGAAATGCTGGAAACAAAATAATTATTGAAGACTTGGCATATTAACAAAAATGTTGTCATAATTTTATCTTACGTGTTTACTAAAGCAAGCCTCTCCAGAAATCTGTTCCTTAAAAGATCTGTGTGTTTTCCAAACGTTTTTGAAAATAAAAAGCAATTTTCTTCTGTTTTAGGACTTCTCCTCCAGGGTGCAGTCCCTCTCCTGTTAGTCCCTGACAGTGTGATCGGATTTCAGGAAAGGTGAGCCGTCTGGGCTTTTTTCTTTGTGTCACTTACTGGGACCTTGGGCAAGACATTTAACCCAAGCCTCAGTGTTTCATCAGTGAAATGGAAAGAACAATAATAACAGTGCTTACTTCATAGCTATTGTAAGGATTATTCAATGAATAAAACAATCTACTGAAGGCAACTAGCACACTTTTGGCTCTACGTGCTCAGCAAATCATAGCAACTATTATTATTTTCTCAGTTCAGTGCTGGGATGCTGCGGAGCATCAGCATGATCTCAACAGGGAGAAGGCGAACTTCACCCTCTGGCAGGGGTGTCCAACCTGTGGCCTGTGGGCCACACGCAGCCCGGGCTGGCCGTGAATGCAGCCCAACACGAAACTGTAAATTCACTTAAACATGACGAGATTTTGTGTGTGCGTGATTACGTGCCGCAATGTATTTAACGTGTGGCCCAAGATAGCTCTTCTTCCAGTGTGACGCAGAGACACCAAAAGTTTGGACATTCCTGCTAGAGCTTAGTTCCTGTTTTCTAAAGGCTTGGAGCTGATCTGGATCCTTGCCCTGTTTCGTCCAGACATTGCTACCCCCTCCCCACCACCTCTGGGCTGGATCATCCATCTCTTGAGAATTCAGGCCACTACTGGGACCAGGAGAGGCAGCGGGGAGGGTGTGTGAATGACTGGGAGGAGAGTTCCCAGGGACACTGGGGATACATGAAGGCCTTGGGGAGTTGCTGTGACCCTGGGTCTCTTTCTGGAGCAGTGAGTCCTAGGGAGAGAAAAGAGAGACATCGGCTGCTGGACAAATTTCCAGTGCTGAAAAGCCCCTTTAGGACTGACGCATGGGGCTGAGAGAAATTTAGGGAAGGAACAAAGGCCTGGGATGGAGTGGGACTCTCCAGGGTGCATTGGAATCTTTCTCCACTTGCTTAGCCAGAAGATACTTTTCCTAATTGAGTGGCATGATCAATCGGCATTCCTAAGCTTCAGTATCAATCTGGAGAGGCTTTCAGCCTGGCCAGCCTCCGGGAAAGCGGATCAGGAGCACAGACTTTGGTGCCAGCCAGACCTGGGTTCAGATCACAGTGCTGCCGTTTACTAGGTGTCCATCCTTGGACAAATCCGGTAGCCTCTTGGAAGCTCAGTTCCCTCGTCTATAAACAAACAGCTGCTTGCCCTGGCTGGTGTGGCTCAGTGGATTGAGTGTCGGCCTGCAACACAAAAGAGTCGGTGGTTCGATTCCCAGTCAGGGCACTGGTCGGAGCAGGTTCCCAGCGAAGGGCACATGAGAGGCAACCACACATTGATGTTTCTCTCCCTCTCTTTCTCCCTCCCTCCTCCTCTCTCTAAAAACAAATAAATAAATTCTTCAAACAAACAGACAGCTGCTTACTACGTAGCACAGCACAGAGATCACAATGCAAATGTCTAGAACAGAATAGGCACTAACGCTGGTCCTTGTCATCTCTGTGACCTGAGCATTACCCGCAGGTGGTATAAAGGGCCCCAGAGAAGTGAGGGAAGTCCTGGTGGTTTCAACTCCTGAACAAATACCCTCGGTCCAGAAAGCATCCTTGAAGGTATCAAGACCAAGACCACAGAGCCTGCCTCCCACAGTTGGAACATTTTATTTCCAGCCCACAATGTTCATAAGAGTATTTGAGGCAGTATAATTTATGGGAGAACCCCGATTCCCACCCATTCTTGCCTCTATATTCCCATCTCCATTCTCCAACTCAAGTCCACCATTGACCCAGCCACTTCTGTCCCCGCAAATTAAAAGATTAAACCTGCTTAAGGCTCCTTTCCATTTGGTCTTTCCTTTCTCTCCAGTGCCTGGAGGCCAGCCTGAAACTCAGCAGAGGGGGGGTTAAGACCGATGCCCTGACCTATCTCCTCCCCTCTCCATTCCCAACTTCAAAGTCTCCATAAAGCCTGCCACTGCTTCTCTGACCCCATAGTGGCAGCTTCATCATCAGCTCCGGGCTGGTTCAACAGATACTGAGCCCTGGCCCGGCCATTCACGGTCCACTTCCTAGCCTTCTCCCGAGGTAAGCACCGGCATGCTGAGCGCCCGTAGGGAAAGGAGGGGCAATCAGGTATAAAAGTTGCCTCAAGCAGGGAGTTTGTTTTATGGTTAGATTTAGCAGGCAGCCCACAGGCAAGAACCCCAGGGCTGGGACTACGCCTGGTTTGCAACCAGAGCAGACATTTACAGGGGTTAGCGAATAGAACAATAAGGGTCACCATCCCAGTGGTGGAGGCAGGGGGTTGCTATATGTAAAGACACTGGCAAGAGATGGACCTGGAAATAGGAACTGCTCGGGGACGAGACGTTCGTTAGCATTCGTGTCTAAACCCTATGCTAAAGCACACACAAACCCACGCCTAATTATTTCGCTCACCAGCTCCAGTGATTGGGTAGCCATCTGAGTCTGGGATGGCCCTGCTCCCTGGGGCCAGATCTTGCTCCGTAGCTCCCTCAGGAGTAACTGTCACAAACTCAAGGCCAGTTGGGGGTGGGGGGTGGATCCCAAGGTTCAAAGCCTTTTCCTCCCACCCTTGTCTGTGAATTTTTCCAGCTGCTTTTTTTTGGCCCAAGGATGACACTCACAGGGATGCAGATTGGGGAGGGGGGAGCAGGGAAAACAGTGAAGTCAGAACAGGCTGGGGAAGAAGAGGCCGATGTTTAGGAGACCGGGAGAGGGGGAGATGGTGGAGAGGTCCAGTGCCTGAGACGGCGCCCTGGGCTGCTGTTTTAGGCAGCGGGCATGGTGAGGGTCTTGGTGGGCAGCTTTCTCTTTCCCACCCCAAACCGAGGAACACTGGAGTTCTGATTGTGGGGCAACTCCTTCCAGGGCTGGGCTGAAGCCTAAGCTACCCAGCTGTTAGCCGCTGAGGGCAGGATCATGTCTGCTGACAAAGGCTGGTGGGTGCCAGCCGAAGGTGAGGACAGCGTGTCTAAGAGGCTCCTGAGGAAGACCAGGGAGTCTCCGCTGGTGCCTGTAGGTGAGTGGGAAAAGAAGGAATGGGGGCGTGGAGGGGGCCTTCTTTTTGAGAACATCCCTCCTAGTCCTCAAAGAAGGAAGCAGAGCACTCAAGTGGTCCTCCCCACCGAACAATCAATAGCCAGGAGTGAACCAACAGCAGAGGTGTCAAGGGGGTGGAGGACACCCCCTTCCAATGCCATGAGGTCTGGATGGGTGGAAGGCAGCCAAGTGGGTGCCTGGGACTCGGGGAAACGTGGGGCACCAACACCAGTGTCAGGAGGGGAAGGGGCAGTTCGGGATCCCCCAGGGCTTTCTTCCTCAAGGCCCTGGGGAAATAGGGAAACAGCTGCACCAGGATGTGGACGCCAAGAGGGGTTGGAGGGCCCAGAGCTAATGGGGGAAGGGGAGTCATGATGATGGGCTATTTCGTGTATGGGAGAGAGGCACCACCACAGGGGGCAAGCCACATTGAAAATGCCACCCAGAGGAACCAAATAACCGCCCCAACCCCCCGCAAAGCTGCACCAAAGCAGCTGTTCACCCAGATGCCCAGTGAGGGGTCTCTCCCAAGAGCGATGTGCTTCGTGGATGAGGCCCAGGTCATGTTCTCCGACTACAGGCCTGGGAGGCTGCCTGGTGGTGGCGGCATACAGGATTTACCGGCTGAAGGCTCGAGGCTCCACCAAGATGTCCATACACCTGATTCACACCCGCGTGGCAGCGCAGGCCTGTGCGGTGGGTGCGATCATGCTGGGTGAGTGGGGCCGCAGGAGACGGAGCCGAGTCCTGACAGTTCAGGGACCGTGATTTCAGTCCCTGCTCCCCATGCAAGGCTCCGTATCAAGTCCTTGGTGACACCCCCATGCTGAGACACTTTCAGGGGTCCCTGTTTAATCTCCTGTCCCAGGCCTGTGGGGACAGTGTGCAGTCTGTTTCATGAGAAGTTTGTCCCAGAGTTGAGAAAAAACATGCAGCAGAACCTCGGCTGAATTTCTCTTCCTCTCTGGATCACCAGAGCCAGAGACTGAACTAATTAGACAGCTGAATGACAGGTGACAAGTCCTTTTCTCCCATCCTTGGTTTTCCCCTGTGTAATATAATAACCACCCCTGGCTTGTCTACCTCCCAGGTTGCAGCGAGGATGCTCAGATAGAAATGCACTTGAAATGCTTTGTGGACTGTCGAGTGGGTGGCTTCCCCAGGCTGTGTGGTCAGAGCTTACAGTAGTCCTGGTGAGAGCCCTAGGGCACAGAGATGAGCGGGCAAGCTGGACTCTCAAAGGGACCAGCCGAAGCCAGACCACTGGGACTCTGCTCTGCCGTTACTCCTCCCACGGACACCTGGGAGAGTCAGAGGGCGGGTGGAACTTTCAACGCCAAGGGGCATTTTTCCTTCTTCCTCACACAGGGGCCGTGTACACGATGTACAGAGACCACATCAAGAGAACAGCACAGGATGCGGGGAACAAGTAGGTTCCCACAGTCCAGGGCCGTCAGACCCTCACGTTGACCCCTGACGTGCTCCTAATAAAGGAATTTTGCAGAAAATCAACAAGTCTCTTGTTCACCTGGGGGAGGGCAGAGTAAGGGATTGGCAGTGGCTGGAAGGGGAAACTCAGAGCAGAGGGTTGGAAATCAAAGAGTTTTGGCCCCCACCTCCAGGGCGACAGAGACTCTCAGGGCAGGAAGGGAGGCGCTGCAGACCTCCGATCCCAGAGACCCAGTACCTCCCAGGCCAGCTCAGATCCCACCTAGGGAAGCATGGCAGAGGGGGCAGGCCGCCAGAAGTGGGAACGGGGCAGTAAATAGGCCTCCAGGCTCCCAGGGACACTGCATCAAGAGGCGGGAGCGCCTCTCGTCACAAAGCTGCTTCCCTGGGGACCCAGGCAGGAAGAAGGCTGCAGCTGGGAGCAGAGGCAATGAAGCCTCCTGGGAGACGACAAAGCTGTGGAGCCCAAGGGCCAGGACTAGACTATGCTGGAGAAAAGGGGGTGGAGGGGCAGGATGAGAGGAACAGAGAAAGGCAGAGGTCAGAATGTTCTGTTTACTTATAAACCATGGCTAAGGTCAAACTCGTAAAAAAAAATTCCATGTAAATTCTGAAAAGAGGGCCTCTTGGGGTTAAACACTGTATGCCCCCTTCTCCTTCCCTGAGCCCAAGCTCTTCTCTGTCCCCTGGGAATGGAGCCAGGCAGAGGCCAGAGAGGGAACCAGGAGGCACCTTCAGCCTCCCCCACTGGGCCCTGGGTTGGAGGCTCTTGGCTGTTCAAGATGGCCACAGCAGCTCCTGACACTCTCTGACAACACAGAGTCCAAGTCGCATGAGGTCCCAGCTTCCAGTCCGGGATGCAGCCCCTCCAGGGAGCAGGAGCTGCTAGGAGCCCGGCACTCACATGGGGTAATTGAGCACGACATCCTGCTTGGCGAGCTCCAGCAACATAGGGTCGTCGAAGAACTTGCTGATGCTCACGTCTTCGCTCAGGCCCTGCAGAGGGTGGGGGCGGACACAAGAATGAGCCCCGTGGTGGGTAAACAAGCTGGGAGGGCCCTGAGTGCTGTGGCTGGGCAGGAGGGTGGTCTGGGCACTGTCACCGGGGAGCAGGTCCTCCTTCCCCAGACAGCCTGTGTCCCCCAGGCCTGCTCAGACTGCACCTCTAGGGTCCACAGTGTGTTGCTCTTAGTCTTTAGGAGAAGGGCCCGAACGGAAGCAGTGAAGACGGGAAAACGCATGCTGAAGGCCCCAAGGGCTGGGGGTGGAGAGGGGTTTGAGGACACACACCTTCCGGCGCCGGGTTTTGATCATGAATTCTCGGGCCAGGTGAGGGGCTGGCTGTGGCTCCAAGGGGCGAATGACAATGCTCTTGTCCAGAGGATCACCAGGAACAATCTGAAAGGCAAAGGGGTTTCAGAGCGCCCGGGCAGGCCTTCAGTGCATTCGGGTGTGGAAGCAGGACTCTTCCCAAGGAGTCTGGAAAGTCTCAGTCTGGACTTGGGAGGGGAACGGACCAGAGGGACCGGTCTCGCACAGGGGGAGGCCAGGTCGGCCAGCCTGCACCCTTTTCCTACCTGCCAGTGGTGAAAGACAGACAAGGAAAAGGCCTGCCCCTGGGTGTGAGTCCGCAGATCAGTCTCGAAACCAAAGGAGTCGATAGCTGGGATGAAAGCTTTGATGGTGTAGAGGGGGGAGCCTGGGATGGGCGCGTCCTGAGTCACGTGTCCCCTGAGACAGAACAACAAAGGCTGAGTCCCTAGTCCTACAGAGGTGAAAGCAGAGAAGCAATCTGCCCCCGAACAAGAATCACCATCGAAGAGTGGAACTGTGAACGCACTGCAGGAGGCACAAAGGGCTGAGCCTCTCGGTCTAATTCCTCATGGAGGTCACAGGGGCAGCAACCTCTGCGCCAGAGTGGGAACGCAGATGGGCAAGGTTTTATAGGCTTTCTTACCACGGACCCCCTGCAGTGCACTCCCCAGGAGCTCTCTCAGGATGGGTGCCCAATAAGGAATCTCAAATTTTAGTCTGCAGATAATCTGGGGATTTCCTCATTCCTGTTCCACCTTCTTCTGAAAACTCAGCTCATTAGGTTTCAGGGGTAGAGAGAGTGGGAGGCTGATCCCTCCAGGGGCACCCGAGCGACCTCCCACTCTGTCCTTCCTCTCAGTGCGCTCCCCAGCGGCCTGGGGCTGCTCACCTGCGCCTGGCCAGGACCGTATACACGGCGGAGACACAGTCTGCAGGGGCCTGGACCTCTACAAAGTAGTAGGGCTCCATCAGGCGAGGAGTGGCCTGAAACACAGCAGCAAGAAAGCGCCCCTCAGCTGGGGAAAGGCTGTGGACCCCGTGCCCTGAAGCAGCACAGCCCTGCCCACTCACCATGAGGAAGGCAGAGTAGACCACTCTCCTGGCCGTGGGGATGATCTGGCCCCCGCCCCGGTGCAGTGGCTCCTGGGCGACCACGGCGTCTAGGATCTTGAACTTGACATTTCGAATCACTGAAAAGGAGATGGGGCGGCTGATTTAAGGAGTGGTTCGGGTGCTACCGAGGGCTCACGCCAGAGCAGCAGGAGCCCCTGGAAGCTCTGCAGCGTCTCGTGGCCACGGAAGGTGAGACACAAAAGCCCTGCAGACGGGCGTCCCGACAGGGTACGCGAGGCCTGCGGCAGAGAGGACAGCAGTTGGGCGCGTGCTCGCTCGTTTCAGGCCATACACGGGCGTATGGAGCCTTCTTAGAGGTTTGTGGGCTTCCCTTACAGACATCTGATTATTGTGGGATGTAGAGTAAGTTCTAGGAATTGAGTGTTCGTTCCAATGAAGTCCAGTTCTGCTCTATAAACTGCTCCAATCCCATCTTGCTCTCGACCCACCTCCTCAAACACATTCCTTCTCAGGAATGAGGAACAAAGATCAATCTAGAAATGACTTCGTTTCTAGGATGTACTAAGTGGTAGCAACAGGATCAGGAGGGACAGAGGGAGGAAGCTGGTCCAGGACGTGGGATGGCCCTGTGTGGCCCAAGCTGCTTCTGCCAGGTCCCAAAGAGGAGGCCACCCACCCAGCCCCCCCACCTGGGTGCAGGGACCCTAGAGGACTAAGGGAGGGGAGGTGGAGAGACTGGCAGACTCACACTCATCACAGAGGGGTCCTTCCCTGGTGCCCCACTGGAAGCCCTGGACGATGCTGTCCTTCACTGAGCCAAGAAGGGCCTTGTCCACCTACACAGAACATAAGGGTCCTTTAGTGGTGACCCTGGCAACAGCCAAAGAGTCTAGAGGAGAAGGTAGGCACACCAGTAAGAGGACATTCTCCTTCACCAGGAAACACAAAATACTTTGGGGGCGGGGGGAGAACACTCTTCAGTTTATCCACTTGAGCTCAGAGACCGCCGCCACACGGCTCCCGTCAGCTCCGCTGTACCTCAGAGGGCAGGGTGTCGTCCACCAGGATGTTGGGCCCGGTGGCGTCAGGGCCGAAAGCCCAGATGGAGCGGGCAGCGAGCAGATCCCAATCGTACTTGGTCTGGAAGAACTCTCCCAGCTTCTTCCTGGGGAAGGAGGGGACAACACAGGGCTCGGCCAGCTCTGTGACTGCTGGCACCCGGGCCCTGGCCTTTCCGGACGCAGTCACCAGGGCCCGCCCGCCGTGCGCCCAGGACAAGAGCAGAGCTACTTTCTGGGGAAGCCTGGCATCGCCCAGTGGGTACGCGGGGCCGCCCCGCCTCGCCGCCCCAGCACCTAAGCTGTGTTCTCGCCTGTTCCACGTGATCTGGACCACCTCGTTCTCGATGTCTTCAGCCAGGCCCTTCTCCAGAGGCTCAGCAATCATGGTGATCTTGTTTCTGGTTAGAAATGAAATGAGTCATGAGGTGGGCGAGTGGGACGAACACAAGGGCCATTCCTAAGAAAAGGGTGATGACAGGAACAGCTAAGGCTGTGACATTAGTGAGAGCCACAGGGGCAGGATCGAGCCAAAAGGGCTTACTTTCTGTCTTCCTTCGCTAGAATCTACCACTGTTTAGACACTAAGATTCGGGGCAGCATTTAAGACGGTCACATTACATAGGAGAGGGACAACTACAAGTCATCCCGAAGGAAAGTCTGGCAGAGGGTTTCACAGGATCGAGTCCGAAGGCGCAAAGGGTCAGAGGCCTGGGCTGAAACTGGAGCCTCCCAAGCCCCTCCCCCCGACCGCGGGTCTGCATTTCCGAGGAGCTGGCGATGCTGGTGGAGTTGGTGGGAGGGAAGCGTGTCTCCTGGCAGTCCAAGGGACACTGTGACTCCACCTTACTTCCTTTAAAAAAACTACTTTTTAAATCCTCACTTGAGGGTATGTTTATTGATTTTAGACAGAAAAAAAGGGACAGAGAGAAAGAGAAATATCGATGTGAGAGGAAAACATCGGTTGCCTATTGTCTGCGCCCCGACCGGGAACTGAACCCGCAACCCTTTGGAGTTCGGGACAACACGCCAACCACGCCGCCCGGCCAGGGCTCCAAGCTTACTTCTTATTGGGCGTTTCCGCAAAGCACTTCAGGGAGGATGTTTCTACCACCGTCTCACAAAAGGTAACAACGGGATCCGCAACCTGGGAAACCAGACGAATTATTAGGTCTTGTTTCGGATGAGAAGGATGGCCTTCTGCCAGAGGGAATTCTGAGGGCCCCTTGACACTACCTCCGTGAGAACCCCTGGTCCTCGTCAGCATCGGTGACAAACGAAACAGCTAAGTCACCCTCACTAAGAAACCTGGAAAATTTAATGTCCTGCACACAGCATTTGTGTTCCGGAGCCGGGAGTATATGAGGGTCAAATTCGGATTTAAACGTAGTTCCCCCGGGTATCTTTCAGCATCTGAGTAGCCGGCCCGCCACCGCTCACTGAGTATCTCCGTGGGCCCGGCAGAGGTGGCACCGGGCCGGGGAGGAGCCATTCCACTCTCAACCCGAGACGTCTGGGTAGCGTAGCTCCTCCCTGAAGCTCCCACGTGGGCTGTGCCTGGGGAGCCGGGCACATTCACAGGAGAGTCTCAGAGGGGTCCCTGAGGGC